CTTCGTTACACATCATTTGACCGAGATTAAAATCAGCCTGGTCAAAACTGAGGTTCTTGTATTCTCGAGAACTGCGATAAAGGGTCTTCTGCATGTAAGTGGAATACAAGAGAGCAGGAGAACTGGTGGAGATATTTAATCAGCTCGCATTCACGAGCGATGACGGGCATGATGTGCAAACGCACATCTGCATCGGGCAGACGAGGGTTGTAATGTGGAATCTAGGCTGGTGTGTTTTGATGAAGAAACGGTTTAGCATTAGCGCATTTTTAAGTAACTATGCGCATACACACACGCTGGATACTGACCGAATGAGTGCGATCCTAAATGCAGGGGGCTACAGTGACGTATTTTCGAGGGATTGCTAGTGTGACAGCAGCCAAAAAAGTTCAGAACACCGAAGTTCAAGGTTTCCTAAAATTTAACCTGATACTTCGTCGGTTCGAGAGATCGCAGCAGGTATGGTTTGGACATGTCATCAGAACGAAATGAGGAATACTCACCATGTGCACTCTCCTGAAAAGTCATAGGCAAGACAGTAGAGTGGTAGACTTTGGAGCAGATTGGTTAATAATGCAAAAGATATGGCATTGGGGACAGGCTCTGCTTCACCCCGGATTTACTTCATATTCATGCAGTTATCTCCATGGCTTCGGTCATGTTAATCTGTCATAAAGTTTATCGAGGTGGAAGGCATTGTAGTCCTTTGCATATTCTCAACGTTTTTAGCCTACCCGGCAGAAGTTTAAAATCTGGTCCACGTTGCTGAGGCCATTTTTATGCCTTCGTAATTCTGTTTTTCCTTGTCTGAATAACAGCGAAACGTATCGCAGGTATATCACTCGAAGGTTTTCTGTGTTTTCTTTTCGACTATTCATCAATGACATCTTCTGTTACTCTCAGTGAAATATTTACCATTTGAAAATGGTTTGTCCATTAGCTCGCAGTGCTTCGGCATTGTTCTTCTTGAAAGAAGTTGCCTTGGAGGTCATTAATTTTCAGGCGCCTAGAGATTATAAAGCGTTATGCAACAAGGGACTCTTCTTGACGCATATTTAGATTACCGAAACGTAAAATAAAGATAAAATGTTTCAATGACATTCAACGCGTTTCGTTATCAACACCGATAAAATGAGCAGCAGTGAATAAATGAAAAGTTGTCAGCGTTTTGGGAAAGTGACTTTGTACTAATAACATAATCTTGAATGACATCCATGTATCACTCAGGTCACAAAATTTCGAATCAGATTAGTGGCTGCACTCCAGGTTTTACTTATATCAGGTGTAAATAGCATTCATTGCACATTTGTTGTTTTCTTGCCATTTAATGAAAAAACTTTTGTAGAATTCTAAAGTTGCCCCTATAAATTATCAAAGCACGAGCTCTGCTAACGCCACGTCCTATAACAGTCGCATCGATGTAGTTTCTGAATGTTCAGCACGATGGTTGCGGATTGCGAACAGATGTTCCTTTACTCTGAAATTTACGCTTTAGCGCCATTAAAGTTGTTAACCTTGTTTGTGATATTCGTTTTCAGGTCTTTGGATGACAAATCTGGAAACGCTAGGATTGAAAATATTTTGACTGGCCCAGCGTTGCCTGATAAGGCTGTTGAAAGTCCACCATTTTCTTTAGTTCTGGATTTGGTGAGTTTCTGCAGATAATATTTCCATTGTAAAACCTGTTTAAGGATGAAACGTTAGTTCACTGTAGTCTCAGCAAGTTAGATGGCGCTTCGTTGAATTTTCCGGTTACCCTAAACGAAAATACTTATCAGGTATTTTGTGTATATCGTTTTTATGGTTGATTTTTGTTCAACTAAGACACCAGTGGCTATTTTACTTATTCTGTTCTGTTTCATTATGAAATTGAATCACTATTCCTGCTGCTGATCTTTGCTATCATTTGTTTTTAGGGTGAAAAGGTTTTAGCTCTTACAATTTTCGTTTTGTCTTACCCTCGTGTTTGACGTATTTGGCATCCTCGTAACGTAAAGCACCGCTTTTGAAAAGAGGGTGAGATCAGGTCCGATAGAACAGATTTCGCAGTTCAGGAAATCTGCAAAAAACTGATCTAACTGGGCGAGACAGCTAGTTTGTCATCGAAGTTGCTATTTCAAAGCCGTCTGTTCGACTGACTGTAACCGCTATCAACAATTACTAGCAGTCACATGATCAACTGAATTGTTCTGCACTTCTATTCAGATAGTACACAAAATGCCAGATTTTTTACTGCCTCTGTCTCTGAAGTTACCTGAGACCTCGGCAAGTGCGTAACAAAACTTTGCATCCATAACATCGATGGAAGTTTCACATGTTATGTGTTTCCGCTGGAGTCGCTATTACTTTTTCAAAGCGAAATTTTATGTACTGCAAATATGAGTTTTAAGATGTACCAATCGCTGTATGTTTGTTACGGATATTTTTTGCACTTTACTTTGGATCTGATTGTAATGAAGATCAGTACTGTCCATTGATAATCGAATTTCTAACGAACTTTTTCAGGTATACGTTCGATTGCGCCCACATATCCGCGAGTTTCTGGAAAGAATGTCGAAGGTATATGAAATTGTATTGTTCACTGCAAGTAAACGGGCCTACGCCGATAGGCTGATCAGTCTGCTGGACCCAGATAATAAATTTATTAGGTAAGTATTTCTTTAGTGCCTCAGTGAGTAAAGTTTGCTTTTTATACAGTTATCGTCTGTTTCGAGAACACTGTATTCTGATAAACGGCAATTATATTAAAGATCTGTCCATTCTTGGTCGCGATTTGGCGAAAACTATCATAATTGACAACTCTCCGCATTCTTTCATTTATCAGGTAAGACATTTTGCTTTAGAATTTTCAGAATATATAAATATAATGTTGATTTGAATTTAATAACGGTATTTTCTAACTTCCTTTCATTTTTTATGGAAGTTTGTTTCTTATCAGTGTTTCTGTA